TTAAGATGTAACGTTACTCATCGCCCTCGCGGCTTCGATGCCCCTCCCCCCGCAAAAACCAAAGTCCTTTCCCCGCAAGTTATCTCAACACACCGTTGCGTGTTGTGGGTATGTGCCGGTATATGTTTTGTATATATAAAAACCAACGCAATAGGAGTAAAACCCTAGGGTAGCTACTTTATGCTATGAGGAGATTTGGCGTAGTTGAGCTATTTCTTCCAAGACATGGAGGTCGCGATCGTATGTCTGATGACCTTGTGTTGTAAGCAAAAACTGTTTAAGAAAATCAACTACTAATATTATAACTTAGAAGTTTCAGAATTAAACCAGTAAGGCTGTCAAAATTATTCGTTTTTAAGTAAAGTAATTTGTTGATTCACGAAAAAAATAATTTGGATAACTTAAATTATTTGCAAAAAAAAGTTTATTCCACAGATCCTCTTATAAAAATTACCATTTGTTTTTATTTTTAATTTTATAATTTGTTTACTTACAGTAACGTTTTGTAACATTGGTCTGTATCCAGGGGCCTTAAAATTTATAGTGTTATTTAAAAATAATAGCATATATTTGAATTACATTTAAAACAAAAACATGTCTTTAGCCTTAAAACAATACAACCCAAAAAGCGCTTTAAAGAAAATCAAACATTATATAAATGTAGTATACCTTTACTTTGGGCTACCGATTTTACAATTTATTTATTGAATAATTATAAAACCAAGTTTAATGTATGATTTGAGTTGATACAACGTAGGTATATTAAATCAATTTTATGCAAATTCATTTAAATTATTTCAATAACAAAGATTTGTATTAAAGATAATTACTTTGAACAATAATGTTTATTTATTTTTAATACAATTATGTGCTAAATAAACTTTGAATCTTTCAATTATACGATGTATATCAACATTATTTTAAGAACAAAACTTATTGTTCTTAATTGCCTGCCAAGAACAGTTTTTGATATGTTTTTCAGAGCTAATACAGCTTACTGAAAGTTTTGAATCCAGAGAAATTAATTAAGCACAAATCAGACAACTTTTGTCGTCACCGCTGTAGAATAAGGAAAACAAACATGGCATCATATTGCGTTGTGTGTTACTTAATCCATAGCGACGACAATAAATTATAATACTTACTTTTAACAATTCTAAATCATTAAATTTAGTACTTGGCCACTTGATAATTATTCTAATTAATTCATTATTTAATTTATAAGCCGTTTTTATAACTGAAAACCCGAGTAAAACAAAACCACCAGTAAGTTATAAAATAATTAAGCATATGCCTTTTAACAAAATACAATATTGTACTCGAATAAGTTTAACATTTAGTTATTGCATATTAAATGAGATACGGATTATGATATTATAACTACTAAGTATAAATCAGTTAAACGATCAAAGTTTAAAAAAAAAAACCTTTTCTCAAATAAAAAAGTTTTTATTTCTTTTTTTTTTTGTTTTTATAGTTTTATTTGTTTTCATTAACTCGAAGAAAAAAGTTTTCATATTATATGAACAACCAAGAAAGAGCAACTTAAAGATGCCAAATATAAAAGTATGTGCACGAAAAGTCAATAAAACAAGGTATAACGTTTTATGTCATTAAAAAGTGAATATTTTTTTATTAACGGTTGAAATTGTTCAAAAAAGTATTGTTCTTCAATCGTATTTTAATATTAAAATCGCCTATAATATTGTTAATAAAGACTCCTCATTAAAAACCATTATCTATGTATAATATTGAGTTATTATGAAGATAATTTTTTTACACACAACACCTGATGTGTCAATGTGATTTCTTTATAATAATAATACATATCGTAATGTATCGCAAAATTATATGCAATAAATATAGGCATAAATGTGTAATCTATTTTTTGTGATAATAAAGCGTTGAATTGTAATTTAAACCGCTATAACTACCGCAATTAATTACCACGATGATAAGCAAGTGTTAATTTGTGTTGACTTAATGCGAAGTTAATTCAGGATGATTGTAAATCCGTTTTTAATACTCATTAGTTTCATAACTGCCCGTAAACCCAAATACTAATGTATATTATTAACCTTATTTTCATTATGTTAACATACAAATATTATAATATAAATGTATATATAGTCGTTAGGATAACGTGCATGTAAATATATTTTAAACGTGAGTTAACTATTCAATTAGGTTCATCCAATTGAATGAAATCTAACTCCTGAGTTAAAAATGACAAGTGGACTTAAAGGCTAATGCACATTCAGCTAATACTAATCCGTAATAAATTAATATAAAATAGTTTTACTAATAATTAGAACTCTCAATTTACTCCTATTACACGCAGATATTAATTGCGAAATAAAATTTCCTTTACAGCATTTTGTGAAACTTGTTTTCAATATGTTTAGGCGCGAAATTTAATATTGCAAAAAAAAGTATTTACATGATATCGTTTAAACATGATTAAAATATTGAAAATAATTTCCATACATTAATGTTACGTTTTATAGTATAAATTGCATTTTTAAAACATTAAATACAGCGCCAAAACATCATAATAATTTATTGAAAACATGTTTGGCGACGTTTTAAAAATATCAAAATGTGTGAGTTTATTACACGTGTAATTACAGAATGTGTTTTTGGCTCTAGAATTAAACTAGGCAAAGTTATGTCAACTTAAATTACGCAACGCTGTATTGTTTCGATTAAACGATAAAGAAAAAGTACATTTTTATTTCAGCGTTCGCCCCTAACGTGAACGTTTTAATACCAATACATATAATGTTAAAATAAGTATATCCTTGATGTAAATAGTGTAAACGCGCATTCTAGGGCGTTATCCTTCTATCATAAAACGACCACTGTGTACATTATGCATTTATGTTATAATGCTTTGGGGATCGAACTGTTAGAATGTCTGGAGACTTGGGTTTGTATTTTAAATTATCGATAAATACCGTTGTTTAAATTACGAATATAATTTGCTGGTGTAATATAATATTCTCACTGTGTATGAGTGTACACAAGTAAGTTTTGGAAAACGGAGCCGGGGACGTGTAGGGTAATAAAGTTTGGGCCGGTGGCACACCGCAACAGCAAAACTTACAAGGACAATCCGTGTTCCGGGGTTTGTCCTAAAGAGGGTCGACTGAGTGAGAAGAATAAAACAATTTTACCGGAGCAAGACGTTTGTGGGCGCATCGAAGCATTCGAAAAACTTCTCAGTAAAATCATAAAACAAGAAAAAAATTATATAATAATATTAAATTGTACAACAACATTATTGTAATATCTATGAACGATATACGGGGTGATTCATTAAGGATAACACTGGAGACACTTTAGTTGTACGGGGTTTTACAGTTATATTAGACGTTATTCAAATTTATACCTTTTTTATTTTCTTCAAGAGCTCTATCAAATTCAAACGGTAACGTATATATTTATTAAGAATAATTTTCTGATATCTGTGCGTATTACTCCACCGCACACCACCTTTTGTAAAGTATCTTTTATTATCTTTTACAGAAAGTCATCCCCAAATGCTATCAACATGAATTTTACCAATATTAGTTACTACTGTCAAACTAGAACGCTCTACTTTCATGTAAAACTAATAAGAGTATATTACAGAGAAACCAGACAATACTGATAATATTGATACTACTGTATAACCAGAATGTCCCCCGGGGAAATACCAAAAACATAGGCAATAGTATACTGAATACAAAAGTAACATCAAAAGTTGATATTTTTTTGTTTTTAAATAAGTATATACAAATCAAAAAGGGTGTACGGTTTTTCGTATTGCATATTTGATTGTATATTTTATAGCGGTGGTTTATGTTAATGTACTCATAATTTACTAACGGTCTGTTTTTAGTGTTTTCGTTTTGAAATATGTATGTTTATGCCGACTGCATTTGATCTTATTGCCTCCTGATGGATGTCTGAGTGGGTTATTTTTTATAATTTAATTTATGTACTTATTCCTTCGGCGTAGCCTACATTCGGTATACATTCATTATTCTGCCACTGGAACTTTTAAACGTGACTTTCTTCATAAACAAATTTATTATATTTTATTTATTTAATAGTACGCCTACATCAATACAACCGCAAAAAATACGTTTTAAAATTAAATACACTGTTTACACTTAGGCGCTCTCAATGTTTAACTTTACAAACATTCATATCACAGATAATCGAGTTTAAATATCAAACGATAATATTGATAGGATTACAAACAATATATTATATAATTATGTTGGTGCCGTAAAAATAATAATAAGATTATTAAACATTATTTTTAACTAAAATGTAATCGCCCACCAGTGAATACTATAAAAAACGAATGGTTCGATATCTTTAGCATACTTGAATTTTTTTATTAATCTAATGTAATATTAAATAATAATATTATAACTCATTCTTTTATTTATTGTATAATATATTATTTTCATTCTGATCTTCTGATTTGTTTTTATTGTTCATAAACTATTTGTGTACATTAAAAACTAGTTTAATAAATACATTTTATTAACTATTCATTTTTGTAAATGTAATTAATTATTAATTGTAATATTGTTATTACTGTTTTAAGGTATCTTTAATGTAGGGATTTTTTTAGTTAGGCTTGATAAAAGTATTTATATAGTACTTATGTTTTTAAAAAATGAAAATTTTAGATTAGTAGACAAAAAATTGAACATTGATTTTTTAAACTAAATGTTAAAGCATGCACGATTTGTTATTAGACTAAAAAAAATAAGTATTTTGGCACATAAAATTAACAAAACCTAATAATAAAGCTATTATTCATAAAGCTTATGAATAATTGTAGGAAGTAGGAACCAGCAAGTTGATGAGGTATTAATATATTATGATATTAACGTCAAAGAGCCTATCTATTATAGCTATTCAGTAGATAAAATAATGACAAGCAGTCAAATTTGCAGATATTTGTATGATGATTGATAATATTATGTTAATAAATTTACCTGTTCAACCCATAAATTGGTAGTCATAATCTGGTTCTTTAAGTTCTGAAAAAAAGATCAAACATAATATTATATAATATTTTTTTTTTAACATAAATTGGTTGTGCAAGATCAAAATACATCTCAGTTATTAAATAATTATCAATAATATTCATCGCACATAGTTCTATTTATGATTTCTTAATAAGTGTACCTTTATACATCTCACCAACTATACAGTTTTAAAGAAAAAATTCGCAAAATATTAAAAAAATATATGACAAATTAGTTAAATATATAATTGTACTATAAATTGTGCGGTAATCGAATACAATTTTATCTAAATAACGGATTACCAAAATAATTTCGAATACCTATATCATTTTCAAATCAAACTTATTTGATTAAGTATAAAAAAGTCATTGATAACTTTTTACTCAATTTATAATGTTTAATTAAAAATTATTGAACAATTGAGCAAATACATATTTTGTCAACTATTTAATTACTCTAAATTACAATTACACGTAATCTGGAGTGAACATTGACGCTATACCGGCTAAATTCAATGTGTAGTTTAGCAGTAAGATATTATTTTTTTTGGTCGTGTGAGCACAACACCGCTGTCTTTTATTAGTATAAGTAAATAAAAAACTACTTCTCATTTGTATTTTTTTAAACAATAAAGCGTATTATACTGTTATTGTTATTATACGATGTAAATATTGCTGCCGTTTTGATATGTTTGTATAATATTATATTATATTTGAACTATAAATATATGGTATACGTAAAATTCTAAGTATATATATAAAGCAATTGTTTTTTTATTTTTTTATGGGAAAGTCGTTTGGGATTGTGTGCATATTTTTTATTATTATTATCATCCTTGCATATAGTTATACGTTATAAGCCGACCTTATGCAAAATTGTTAATATACATATTCGTATACCGTTACCAACAATAAGGGACTATTGAAAGCAACTCAAAATCACCATCCATTTTGTTGTTTTTTTTGCAGCGCACAGCATTTACTTGTTTCAACCATGGGCAGTAATAAGTTATATACTTATTTATATGTAGTGAGGTGAAGCATTACCCAATGTATATATATATACGACTGAGAGCAAAGGACTTACTGGCTGGATGGCAGAGCTTTTAAAATGTATTAATATTAAAACAAACAGTAATAAATATATTCACTCTTTTTTTTTTATCCAGCGTAGCTGTTTGCATTAATGTTGTCCATTGTTTTTAATATGCACTTTGTCATTCTGACCTAAATACTAAGACCAACGTTAGGTTTAGAGGTTTAGTTTTTAGCGAATATACTACTACTTAGTAAACACAATATTTTGACTATATTTTATACCAGATATTAAAAGCATAGAAACTAAAGAAAAACCAACGATGTTGCTCAATTATTTCAAATCCGTTTAAATATGTAACTTTCAACATTGAGGATAGCCGAAAGTGAAGACCAGTTATCAGAAAAAGCTGTAAAATATGCCCTACAATAAAATACAATTCACAAATTACAAATGAACACACAATTAGAGTCTGTGGCCACTGAGCGATCGCAAATGTGGCCAGATACCAAAAAATCATGTTACATATCAATTCAACATGATTTTTTCTCCCGATTTCAAATCTGGGGTTATTCTTTTCGTAAGACAATTTTTTAATGAGATACGAGTTCTATTTAAAATAGTTTTAAAATTTAAAAAAAATGAATACCGTTTATTGTACCCATAGAGCATCCTGAATGTCTCATTTGAAGCTCGGTAGAACTTTACATTACACCCTGTATATACACACTCTGACCTGGGTTGGACGATGAAATGGTTGGTCAAAGCGGAGTTGAAACGGACGCACACAAACGGTAGCCGGATCGGGCGGCTGCTGTAGCAAAACGGCAGAAATATAGGGCGCATAGTCGAGGGTATTGGCGGTCCGCGATGGTAAAATCAACTGGTCAATTGCCCTGTGTGTGCGACCTACCTATAGTCGGGGATGCTGTGTCAGGTTTGGGACGCGAAGTAACGGTCAGGTGAAATATGATCGTTAAAAGATACACCCTGTATACTACTAATATATTCTATCTGCTTTTGGTCGATCAGAGTGCATTTACACTTCAAAGGCACTTCAGTTCCAAATGCCGTTGCGTCAAATTTGACGATCACTGAAAATCGATTTCGAATACACGGGAGACCCAAAATGTATGTATATTATATTATAAATATAATTACTGGGATACTTGTTTTCACGTCACGGTCCGCGTATTATAGTAGAGTAGGCCTTTGACCGTTGTGGCACAAATGATGTGTCTCCAAAGGATTGTTGCGTTCAGTCGATTAACGGAAGACTAAATTAATATAAACAGATGGAAAATTCATAGGACCGAACTATACGCGATGTATGCAATATTGAAACGAACACGAAGTCTGCGACAAATTCAATTTTGTTTTTAGCTTTGTATACCATTGTACGTGAGCACACAGTAGTCACGTGTGAACACAACATAGAGATAATATAATTTATTTATATCAATACCAAAGCTCGCCCGAGTACAAGTTAACTGAAGCAAAATACGACCGAATCAAACAGACAGAAGGTAACAACTTTAGTAGAATTTTTAGTAGTCAACCTGGAATTTGCCATTTGAAATTTCGCTGAACAATATAATCAATCGAGTATAGCCTGTTAAAATAGGTTAACAATATTTACAATATTGTACCTCTTTTGGGAGGATCAAATACCAAAGCATAGTTTAATTCACAAAACGGTGTTTTGTTAACTTTGGATGTGATTTAAAAAAATATAACTAGACGTGCTAAAGAAAATCTGAGGCCAGTGTCAGATTTTAAGGAAACACTCTCAAAAAAAGGATAATATTTTGGCTATTTTTATAATGTAGTTTATAAACATTTTATTTTTTGTACCAATCAAAAATCTTACACCGAAGAAATTTGTTTCTCTAGAACATTGTTACACGTTTTTTATGATAAATTGCTTAGTAAGCCTTTTCTGAATCAGACCGACGTTAGTGTAGTGGCATCTCCTCTTGACAAATAAAATTATTTAAATGTTTTTAAAAGCATTATGGAAAAATCCATAAAATTACCATTTGATAATAAAACGATTTATTTTTTTGCGACGGGCTCGGAGAAACCACGTTAGATCTATGAGATTGTTGTTACGCTGTTCTGTATGTCTCCAGTGGCATATTGTCTGTCAGCTGATACACAAATACAAGTGTACTTTTAAGCTTACAGTTTAGGCTTTTAGATGTTGTTTAGCTGCATTATAAAGATTTTCCTTTTTGTACTAGCTACGCTAGAGTTTAATAGCAGATCTGACCCGAAAAAATATAAATAAATAATATATTATGGAAAACCATATTATTTCTCTACCCTAGTCCAGTTTTGAATTGTAGCATGTAGCGATTTTACTACTTTTTCGCGACTATATTAGTATAAACAACGAATATGTTAGGTGTAATAATTTTATGGTGAAACAAACATTATAAATCATTTTGAAATCAATGTTAGCTTATGTAATAAATTCTAACAAAAAAGATATTAAAAAATAAAAACAGATCTAGGGCCACTCTTAGCCAATTACGTGTAAAGGAATAAAAGGATTACGTCCAATCAAAATGAAGATTTGAGAAATGAAGAAGGTTTGAGAGAAATTATTTGATAGTTTTTATTCATTTATAAATTATTTTTACACATTAATCATTTTTTTATTATTAACCACACGCATATATCATGGTAATTAAGTCTTCTGTCATGCACTACCAAACCTCGATTTTGGAGTAGTGTATATTATCCGTTCATATAAAAACATTTAGTTTGTGATATGAATATAATGATATAATGGTTTTATTCCGTTAGTTGTCTATGCATAAATTTGCCTCGGATATTACTTATTGTTAAATTAATTTTAAACAAAATCTTCGTCATACTATTTTTATTAAACAATTTTATTCTCAGACCCAAAATACGTTTATCTAATGGAATTTTAAGAAACACAACAGAGTTCTTTGCGCATTGGAAGTAATTTATTTGTATTGCTAGGCTGATCTCCCCAGGAATTCATCTAAATAATTATTTAGACCATTCAGTTATATATATATATATATATGAAAACAATGGAATCTGTTACCGTGAATTTCGATTAAGGAGAATATAGAAACCATCTTTCGATTCTTTCACTCCCCTTCATTTTCAATTATCAAGTAGAACGGATTTCGAACGACGGTGAGACTACACAAAGGCATCGATGTCGTATCGCCATAGAGTTACAAAACAATAGTCCAAACATTGAAACAACAATCTATTTTATTTTTTAATTTAAAAAAGAATTATTTTATTTTATTCAATTTACTTTTTTAATTATTATTCTCACAAATAAGAAAAAAACAGTCGAAAAGACATCGAGCATAATATGATATGTCCAAAAACAGATTCTAAATTATACAATATATTCCTAACAATAAATATTGTAAAACGAGTAGATAGTATCAAAGTAAGTGATTATAAACGTTATAAATATTAAGTGTTGCCAATATTAATTTGATTTTATCTTAACAGTAAATATCTTCACCAAATAAGATAATTTCGGACTTTTTTCTTATCAGTTATTTAATGAGGCTCTTTTGTTATAAACTCAATGGAAAAAGATTCAACGCATTCAACTAATTATTTTGATAAGATATTATCGCCGTGGTCGGTCCACATTAAATCAAAATTAATCGTTAAATTTAACAGGTTTTTTGTTTTGTGTTTTTTGCACAAGTGTTCAACATTATTTTTATTATTAAAATAATTATTTATTTTCCTATACATCAATCATATAACGTCAAAACTCTTTATTCGCCTTTTTACTTATTCAAATACGGTAAATTTTACAATATTTTTCGAACGCACGGATTGAGTAATTAATTGCACTTAAATAGTTTCATACGATCGCGCCTTTGAGTACATAAAAAGGTCGTGCACGCGAACACTTAACACTTTAGGGTACTCGTACGACGAGGGTCAGATTTGCCCAGATTTAA